TAGTCCTGTAGAAGTGACTTTGACATAGGCATGATGTAACCATGTGGGCTGAAATGTGACGAAGATGTGGGGTTTTCACCAGGGCTCTGAAAGGATGTAGATGGGAAATGCTAATGACTCTTCAAGGCCTGGATTCTGGGTTTCCATTTCAGCAGAGCACCTCCAGATATGTAGTTCACAGAAATGTCACTTTGGTTCTGCCTCAGAGAAGCCATGGCTTCCCAGTAATCCCTTTTTGTGCACTTGGGAGGTTGTCACAAATGTTGACCTCCCCCACTGTCCCCAAATGGAGTACATACTCTTGAGCCAGAATTGTCATCACCACTTTCTATTCAGCACTGCCACCAGCCTACTACCTCTCCCAGTGCTTGAAGGAGAGTCAGTCTCTCTTACTGAAAATCAAATGCACACAAGAGCATAATTTGGAGATTTTGTGCCTCTTTTATTCCCCTGTCTGACTGCTTTTCACTGACAGTCACAGAACTGCTGAGGTGTACAGCAGTATACCTTGTTCTGCTAGTTAAATAATGAAAAGATTTGTTCATTTGAAGTGAACACCATTGCTTGTAGAGCATGAGTATGAGTTCTAGCCTCCAACAAATGTAAAACCAGCTCAGACACCCATGATCTTCATCAAAAATAGGGAGGCAAGAGAATAGGCTGTTGCACTTCAGTGCGATGTTCCAAAGTTGTTTCACTTTTTCATCATGGCATAGGAAAATATTGAGTTTTGAAGTTAAATACAATGTAGAACACTATGAAGAGTGGTGGCTCCTGCAAGCATCTGGAAACCTGGATCACAGTCAAAAAGTGACATAATTCAACTCTGTGAGAGTTCAAAGGCTGCATCAGAAAAAGCTCAACCCCTGCTTATCTGGTGAGCTTTCTAACCAGCAGAGAAGGTACAGTGTGTCTCCAGATTCAGCAAACAAAATTAATATCTTTTCAAAATGACCAGTTGCTGATTGCTAGCATTCTGCATTATTGCCCAGAAAGAAGAAAAACATCATCCTTAGGAACAGTCTCCACAATCATCCATAATAACAGCACAAGGCATGCATACTTTCACCCATCATATTTAGAAAATGTGCAGCTTCCCCTTGACCTGCTACAGAGAAGACAGTAAGTGTCTGTGTGATGAGATCCAGAGGCTGTGTCTTGAAACCCATTTGGATAAAATGGAAAATGTAAAAAATGTATCTTCTAAAGAAAAGAAGATTGGTATGACAGCTCCTGAATGAATTGGATCCTAGGGTTTACGGAGCCTATCAACTCATCTCTCTGCTTCATATTTGGTGTTTTTTTCCATCTGTAGGAACCTGTGCTGAAACACTATCATTTAGGATAAACTTTGTCCACTATGTGATGGATAAATTTATTGTCACCAAAGAAGGTTAACAGATGACGGGAGACTAGAACTGGGTTTCTGCATCACTTTAAATGCTCCTGTTTATACCAAAATCTTCAATAAAGGGCAAAAATCTAACAGAGCAGAAAATCACCAGCTTCACTTACACAGCTGCTTAGACAACTTCCTTGATTAAACGGAAGAGATTTCAGAGAAGAGCAGAAAAACTTTACAGGAACTAAACAGGTTTAAGTAAGCAATGGCTACGCAACACAAATGAGCTCAACATTGTAAGCACAAAACAAGGGAAGGGAATATTGGACTAAGCCAATGAGAGCACTTGGAGAGAAATGGCATAAATTCAAAGGTTCGTCTAAATACAGAGTTGTACCGACTTCATTTAGATGTGCTTTAAAATGCTTTAGGTAAATGAGGTCAAAAGGCTAAGTAGACACTCTTCTTTTGCTATAAACCATGTTTGGAAAATAAGTATTTGGAAATAAATTTTAAACTAAGCAGCAAAAACTATATTTCTAAGACTATGGAAGAACAATTGCAGGAGTTTTTGCTTGCAAAATTACATGAGAACAAGGGCATGAATTGAGAGGGATAAAAAATGGCAGAGCCAGTGAGAACAGTGGTGAAAAATTATCAAAGGAAGAGTTTTGCTTTGTCTCCAGAGGTAATAGATTGGATTGTCTTTTCTAGCACTGTTGTCCCTGCTTTTGAGATTTTTAGAGTGAAACTGGAGATCTTTTTAAACTTGTAATTGCATGGCCTTCCTGTGTTAGCCCCAAAGGAGATAGGGACAGCTCCTAAGAACTCAGAAAATACATGAACAGATGAATACTAGCAAATACGTCATGTTCTGCTGTTTCAGGGTCATGTGCTGGCTCTGCAAACATAGCTGCAGCTCTAGCAGTGTCAGTGTGATTTTGACCCAAAGTCTTCTAGCTTGCCAGTGGGCAGGGGGAAATCCAGCAGTAACAATAAACTGGCAGCCTTCCAGTTCGCCTTGTAAAACAATTAGACAGCTGTTTTCTGGTACAGACTAAGTTTCTTTTGATGTTTCAGAAAGTTACTTTTTCCTCTTCATTTGTACACCTGATATAAACCCTGTGAGTAGCCAGGTACCCAGGATACAAATATTTCTGTCTGAGCTGTTCCTTGAAATCAAGATCTGAATTTTCCTTTTTTTTTTTTTTCCTATGTTTCAGTTGTAAATATGGGATCCAAACAACTCTGAGTTTAAGGAATCCAGAATCAAGATCTAAATTCAGATGTTAAGATTTAAGCCATCCCTACTGCAAATGTGGACAATTCCTTTATTTCTCATTAGTGATTCCCTTCCGTGGATGCTGAAGTGCCTGGCAAATATGTGTGAATATCCTTCCTCTTACTTACAGACACAGTAACTTCAATTAAGAGGTCTGGCCAAGATCATCAAGCAAGTGACAGGAAAAATTAAAAATGGAGCCTGATTTTCCCATCTCCCAGGTCACACTGTATTTCCATGGGGAACCCCTGGAAAGGTGTGAGAAATGCAACTGACAGAAATACTGCAGAAAATAACCATTTACAAATATCTTCAATAACTCATAAGTCAGTCTTGGTATTACTATAATTGTGCATGGTCCCAGCATGTCAGTAATACTTTGCTCCATCAGTTCCTAACAGAGTTTGTAATTTAAGTAACTTTTTCCAACTTTTAATTACATTTTTTTTGGTAATATGACTCACTGTGCTTTGTGCATACCTTGAGGGAGGTAGTATGGTCTGGTAGTTGTTGTAAAGAGTTGGGAATTAATTACAAAGGACACAGTTTTTGAGTTCCTCTCAAGTACTTGCTCAGCTGTGTTACCCTGGGGCAAATCACTCAACTGCTTTGTGCCCAAGTAAACCCAGCTGTAAACCATCTTGAAAACCAGATGGTGCACAAGATTTAAACTGCTCAGGAGAATGAAGGGGGGAAAGAAGGTGGTGAATTCTACAGCTTGTTGCTTCCAATCGAGTTAATCTGAATTTAACCACTATAACTGAGGATTTAACTTTATATATATAAAAAACCCCACAACCAAACAAAACAAACAAAACCCACTCAAATCTTTGCTTCCTTTTCTCTCTTGACTTTATGTCAAGTACTTTCTCTCTAGAAGCTTAATTTTAAACCTTCAGTAGACTATATGTTTTTCCCTGGCAGCCTGAGGATTCTAATTCAGGATCAGGTTCTACATGACTAATCTTTGATATTTTACATGATTATTTTTAGGCACTTAATTCTATAGCATGCTCTTCTCTCTGCTTTTCATGCTACTATTCTCCTTCCTTAGTCTTGCTTAGCTTCAGTGGCACAGCCGTATGTTCTGATGCTTAAGTACTGCTAATAAAAATGCTGAGGTCTATTATTGTCTTCTGTAGATGGTATGTCCTGGCTTAAAACCAGTATCAAAGCTATTACAGGATTTGTATTGCTGGTCAATGAACAAAGGAAATACTGTACTCAAGTTTCTGTAGCAGAATAAATGTTTGCCACATGTTAGTATTTAGGAGAAGACTTAAATGTTTCAGTATTTTTTGGCTTTAGCTAAAATGTAGACCTTTTTTTTTCCCACGAGTGCCACAGGAATGTGAGAATACTTACGTAGGAGTACAAATGTAGGAATATTTGTGTATACTTCCAAAGCAGGGTGTATTAGGTTATAAGAAGGGAAAAAAAATATATTTTTAGTCTAGTATAAACAAGGAACATTTAAAGATGTGAGACATGAAGGAGCCATTTTATATGCTACTCAGGAAAGACCTTGCATGTTTTTATTACTCAGTATTGAAAATAAAACATTGACAAGTTTGAAATTTATTGAACTTTCTTCCCAAATAAGAAAGGATTAGAGCTGAGAGAGTAAGTTACAAACAAATGTAACAAGCTAGAGCACCTAATGTCTTCAGCAAATTTAGCCCTTGTTATACAGTACTGGGATGGTAAAATATTTAATTGCTATTCACAATTGGTGATAATTTTTCCACTTTAAACAATGTTCAGTGTGTGTGTGTCTCACAAACTGTTTACTCTATTTCATGTTGTTGAATCTTTAGATTTGGTATTTGATCTATGCTATTAGTAATTTAAGATATTGAAATTCTGTGCTAATAAACACCATACCAAAAATGCCTGCAATGAATAATGACACTGCTCAAATACCAAACTGTTAATTAACTGTAAGCTAAAGTAGAAATCCTATTACTGTTTGAGTTGCTATTTGGAAAAAAAAAAAAAAAAAAAAAAAAAAGGTGCAGTTCTTGTATGCGAATAAAAGAATTTTAAATTAATCAGAACATGAGACATTCTCACATGACCAGCTGCGGAAAACAATAAATAAAACAGAAAGTGAGCTGTAGATAGAGCAAATCGAGCAAATCCAGGTGATAAGGAAAATCATGACTAGAGTTGTCTAATATAGGGACAAGAAAAATATAAAATATATTTTCAAGTCCTGAGCTATATAAATAATCATCAGACTCAATTTACATTTTTGCTGCTCAAAATGAGTAAAAGGTTGATTTAGCTCAGTATTGCCAGCTGAAACTGCAGCTGGGAGTGTTTTTCTATATCCACTAAACACAGAGTTTTCCCCTCTGTGTTCCTGAGTGTAAATCATTTCATGGTCCCGTGACCTCATATGGCCTGTTTAAAGAAAAGATTTTTGCATCATGACTTTAACATGGTCCAACCCAGTTTCTTTCCACTCTCATTGAGAATAGAATGATGGATGCTTCTTGTTGTTGTTATTGCTACCATAAAATGGGCCAGTTTACAGCATACAGCTTCAAATCCCTTTGTACTTGCTGAAACAGAATGCAGTGAGATGCTGCCAGTGAAATACATATTGATAGACTGGTGATTTCGATGTGTTTTGAGGTATTAAGTAAAGTCTAGTCTTAAGGCAAATCATGACGAATTCCCAAAGCCAGAAATTTCAGGCATCATAAAACCTTCTCTTCTTTAAAAAAAAAGGAATCTAATGAATTAAATATACTTTATGTGAAGACCTTGTTTCTTTAAAACAGTATTTTGAAGTTAAAATCTAACTAGTTTGGGAAAAAAAGTTAAATAGTTTTAGATCACCTCCTTGCTCATGATTAATAGAATCCATTTTTTTGCAGGTTTTAAACCACACTGTGCTATTTGTCCCTCTCATTGCCATGTAGGAAACCTACAGAAAAATGAGAAGTATGCCACTCAGAAACTGACTACAAAATGCTGGTACAGGTATGTCTTTTGCCTATATAATCACTTTCAGAAACAACTGGCATGCATTCAAAGGAAGATAATCTGAAAAAATAGTGATTTTTATAAAATCTCCTTCTAAAGAGAGACACTGTAAGGCTAAAGCTTGCATATGAACACATCTCTCCCCAAGTTGCTAAGAACACTTTCTAAACTTCAGTTTAAAAGCTTTCAATTACTACTTTTCACTATCTACGCTCTTCTTTTACTTTTTGCCTTTATTTTCCAGTCTTGTGACTAAGCAAATCTGGTAAATTTTGCTTGCTCAGTATAGCCCACATCACTCTCCTCATGTCTTGCTGTAGCTTATTACCTATGTTTGGGAATACAACCATCCCCAGGATAAGTCACTTCTCTTAAAAGTAGGATTTATTATCTTTATTAATAAAATCCACATTTTAAGCCTAAACTATTTGACTGTGTCCCTTTCACAAAGGAAATAATTTGGGACAATCTATTTTTTAAATCACAGTTTCTAAATTCTTTTGCCCCAAAGAGAAAATTCTGTAAATTCCTTTGCTGAATGAGGATGGGATTTTTAAGGAAGATGTAAAGACAAAATGAAAGACCCTCTCACACAACCTGATTGCTGAATTTCAGAGATGCCCCTTATTACCAGCTTATTTTCTTGCCTTTTTTTCAGGGCTGTGGAAAACAATTTCTGTCAGCTACATCAAAGCGTAGTGGCAGATTTCCCTTTGGAAGTCAGAGCCTGTTTCAAACGTCTCTTTAAGTCCTGCATATTTGGAGACTTCGGTCGGACAAGGTGGAGGCCTCTTCGTTTCTCTCCATTGCAGCTCCCAATCATCCTGCTGACCTCCTGGCAAAGCTGCTGGAAGGCTTCATGCACTCCCTCACAGTTCTCCCGGGCTGAGACTTCATAGTAAGTACCTCCCAGTTCACTGGCCAGCTGCAGCCCTTCTTTGGAGGACACCTGCCTGGCTCGCAGGAGGTCTCCTTTGTTTGCCATCAGGAGCAGGGGAATGTTGGCATTCGGGTGAATCTTTCGGATGTGCTGGTGTAGGGGACGGATGACTCGGTAGCTCTCGTAGTCTGTGATGGAGTAAACAAAAACGAAGCCATCTGCCCAGTAGATTGAGCGGTTTATCTGCTCTTGGCAGCATATGCTGTCAGTGTCATCCTGCCATCAAAACCAAGAGGTGTGAGATTAGAAAACTGAGAACAGGGAGCAGACAGAGCAAACAGTCATACAGCACTGTTAGCTACTCAGAGCTTTGTTTTAATGTGTGGCTGTTTCTCAGTGTACAGGCAGACACCTCTCTGCCAGGGAATGTACCAGGGAGAGGAGAAACTTCTGCTGTGTCAGTAACACATTACAGGTAAGCAGTAATGTGGAGTGGGGAGGGGTCAGAGCAAACTGGTTGAAAACAAGAGAACAGCCAAAATACTGATACTGAAAAGTTTGTTCCGTATTCTATTGTACTAAACCAGCGTGCCAGAAACCCGCTCTTTTATTGTTGGATAAAATTGTGATGGGCACAGTAAGAATGTTATCAAATTCAGCAGGCTAGTCACACTAGTGCAAGTGAGCCAGTTGTCCCCCAAAGTGTTTTTTTAGGGCTTTTTCCAATTCTGTATTCAGTGTCTCCATGGGTGAGGGTTCTCACGAATTCTGTTTAGTGAAGCCTGATAGGTTTTTCTGCCATGTAAATCTCCAGATAGTCAAAGGCAAAGTTACTTCAAAAAAGCAATTGGTTACAAATAACTAACTGCCGGAATTGAAAATGAGGTGAAACCTCACTGCTCATTTGTAGAGCAGCAATGGGTTTGTATTATTGCTTTGCTGGTCACACATTTGTGCAGTCCACCACCACTCCTACTCAGACAGCCATAACAATCACCAGCACTGGGAATATAAAGCTGAATACAATACTGTGGGGCTTGAAAAGAGATCAGCTCACTTTTCAAGATGAAGCTATTTTCAGCTAATCCTCTACTCTTTGTTATCCGTGCTGGCGGGTAGCCCAACCAGATAGGAAGATCACTGCTGCAGTTACTGCCAGTTACGTGGTTTGTAAAAACTGACATTAATATTACAGGCTTTCTGGAACTCTATAATTTCTTTCATATCCAACAAGCACTACGAGTATTCAGTATTCAGCTCTTGATGAAGTTGGTAGGAATTAGAGGCTTTTGTGTATTTTAGGGGGAGTTCAACATCACGAATACAAAGCCCAAACTCTCATTATTGTTATTGCTAAATTCCATTCAAGAAATCTTCATCAACTTCAGTAAGACTATTAGAACATATGTTCCATTATCTATTTATCTATATAATATATATCTGCCATTCACATTAATTTTAACAGAGTTTACATGTGCTCAGCCATCTCCCAAAACAGATTACTTTTGTTTAGACACCTAAATATGAATTATAAAGCCTAACTTCAGGAAGAAGAGGTGGAGAAGAATGAAAGTAGACAGTAAAAAAAGGACTACTTCTGTGAGAAGAAGGAAGCAGAATTTCTGAATTAGGCTTACAACTTTCAACAGGAGTTCTGATAACTAATTGCCCTTTGTAAATATATCAATATTGCCAATAGAGACACTGGCTCATCATACCTAGTAGTTCTTTGCCCTTGCCAGCTCACAGTAACACTAAATCCTGTTAGCAGGGAAATTGTTTAACAGATACTCTTTACCACTCCTCTCTCCCCCCAAAATCTTCAAATCCAAAAACCCAACAGAAGTGCACATGGAATGCAGAAGGATCCTCACTAGCAGCCTTGTTTAAAAGGTCAGTGAGTGTGAACTTAAGCCAGGACAGGGCAGGCTGTGGGAAGAAGGGCAATTTTCACTGTTGGTGTCTGGTTTGTAGCCAATCTGTAGATAATTAGCCACCCTTCAAGTCCTGCTAGCCTCTTTTCACCAGCAAACTCCTTTCATGGGGAAAAAGAACTAATTGCTCTGGCAAGCATTTGAAAATGTTTTTTTGGAGAAGGTGTACATTCAGAGAGCCCTAATGAGCAGAAATTCTCAGTTACTGCAGCTAGGCCCACCCAGTAGTGAGATGGATGGATAATCCCCAACGGAATGCTTTATTCAGGAAAATCAAAGGGTAATGGGCTACTTTTTAAATGGAAATCTCTGCTCCAGAATGAATTTTGAAACACACAGTCATTTGCCATGTATAGTCCAAGCAGCAATGAATCACCTAACAAAACCAGTTATCTGTTTGCTTCTGTTTCTCTCTTAAACATTAACAATTCCAGTGTGGCTAGAATCCTGAGCGATTCCACGTGATTTCCTCCCAAAACACTGTACTCAGCCTTCAGAGTGCAAAAAACCTCTTCCTTAAGGATTTTAACAGAAAATCCAACCTATTTTCAGTCTTAACAAGTCCTGTTCAGGAACAGTCCCTTCAAATTATTTCAGATATATCATTTGATGCAAATAGAGATACAGGCTAAGGTAAGTGTGTCTGTGGGAACTGTTGAAACAGTGCAGACCTTTGACTAGAACAAAGAAAATGAAACTCCTTCCTAACTAAATCAAATCGTTTCTGACTAAGAAACCTCAGCTGTTGGCATTACTAAATTTTGTGGAGCTCTGGCTACAGTCACAGGACTACAGGGCACAGTCTTAATAAAACAGGGAAAGTGGAAAATAAACGTATATCTGGTGAAAGAGGGAATTAAATTATTTCTCTCCCTCCTTTCTCCATGGGATAGAACAGAGAGGGGATTCCCTTTGTTAAGTGTTTTATCGGGCAGTCCCAATTGTGCCTAATCACCACCCACAGCTTCTCTTTGCAGGTCCTCTCTAAGCAAGCTGGCATAGGGCCTTTGTACTATTAAGTCCCACTTGAATATTTGGAGAACTTCCATAGCAGCTTTTGTTTGCTTCTTAGTGTCCAGAGTAAATGAGGGGTCCTCTCCTCTGCTCTGTGCACCCCCAGCAGTAGAGGGTGTGGAACATTGTCAAGGCTTTCCACTTAAATCTACTTCCAGTGATCAGAGAAATAGAAACTGAGGCTGTAGGAGCTTCTCTTACTGTTTTCTGTAAACTCAGGATGGAACAGTTCTACAGCACAGAAATAAGCCCATGCACACATGGGTCTGTGCAGACAAAACAAGGTATATAAAGCTGTTCAGGGCTAGTCTGAAAGAGGATGAGAGAAGGTGGTCTTTCCCATGCAGAAATATATTTGGCCAAGTGTGACCTTAAATTGAGATTAAGGCCAAACCTAGAAGTTTAGGTTTGATGGTAGCAAGAGCATATGGCATTTTATCATGAAATCTCAGCTATTCCATAGGAATTATTACTCTCATGAGATTTCCATCGTTCATGTAAAAAACAGTTTCATTACATTTCCTGCTGCTTTGACACTATTTTCATCCTCTTGTTCTGCATGTAAAGCAGATCTTCAAAAAAAAAGATCTCTTAATCTTAAATCCTGCTTGGAAAAATATTTCTGGAAACAGGTTCCTAGACAAATATTAAATCTAGAATATCTAAAACACTGATAGAAAGAGGGGTGTTGATAAATGTTAACACCTTAAAAATAAGGAATGAATAAAAGTAAAATTAAAAAAACCCACAGAAGTAAGGAAACCACTGAAAAGCACCCAAGTTGGAATAACTGTTGTGAGGCCTGTCCCCTTGGAAAGAAACACTTCTAGAGAAGAACAATTCTGGGTGTGCAGAAAGATCTAAGCTGAGCCAGCTGGGCCTCCAGACAGGTGAGTTTTCTGCCACACAGGGACAGAAACCATTTTACAGGAAATAATCAAGGAGTTGGCAGGAGCAAGCCAGATTATGATTTTACTGCTATTTAGGCTTGGGATGCAGTAATGTGTTTGAAACAGATTTGTTTAATTTCAACTTACTCTTAAAGGAGCCCGATTTAACCACTTCAAGGTCTCATTTTGGTGGGGCTTAAGATACCCCCATTAGTTTTCATTTGGGCTTGAGACCAGGTATTTATTTTTCTGCTGATTAAATGGAGTTACAGATGAAAGTGCTGGCAACAAAAAAGAGACAATAACTGTTGTAAACTACTAATGCACTGAGCAGATGTTTTACCTCCAATGAAACAAAGGGAGTATCCTGCACCTGTAGAGAGATCTGTTCCCCATCTATGGTGAACTTTCTTGAATATAAAGCGCCTGGTGGAAAAGTAAGATCATTAGAGTCAGTGACTGTAACAAAGAAGAAAGAGTACATAAAGGCAAAATGTAACTGTTGAAATCCAGATTTTTGATGTTTATGATATGTAGCTGCTTATAGAAAAGTGAATGGCACACGGTTGTGTGGCTGTTTACTTAAGTGAACTGGTTTTGTGTTGGCTATGTGGTCAGATGTTTTGAATGTATACCTAGGATGGTGTCTGGGAAAGCTGGCACTCTGTATTGAATCAGTCAAAGTGCGCACATAAATCCGATTCAGGTTTCCAATCCATATTGTTAACTTTTTAAAATGTGGACTGCTTATATCTGAAACCAAGATATCCAGGTGTTGTCTGTAAAAGGAGCGAGCTGTTTCCTACTGCATTTTTCTGAATTTTTTTGAAAAGGATTCTAGTTTTGGATACAGAGGAAGTGACTGTATACAAATTGCCCGGATGCTCTTTGGAATTTGTCTGGCCTTAGCAGTCAGAGTTTGGTTGGAATCCCTAAAGACTGGACACTTTGAATCTGACTTTGGTTAATCTGAATGACACATATTCAGGGCCAAATGCTAGTTCAAACCATCAGGACTGATCCAGCTCTAATAAAACCATCACCATTCTGGGCTTTAACTTGATTTTGTTACTGGAATGTGGGTTAAGTGACAATGAAAACTCAAGTTTTGATCTTACAAACTATCTGTGGTTGTGATAAGGACAGCTTCAGAGATTGATGCCATTATAATTTTTCTTTAGAACTTAATACCAGGCACATGGATATGTGAAGAAATGCTATATCCACAGCTGTTGTATACAGCCTTGTCCAAATACAATTGTCACTGCTGCATCTAAAATAATGTACTTCATCTCAAACATAGAGAAAACTCGTCTATCGAAGAGTAAGGAATTCAGATTAACAGGCAGGTCAGTCAATGGCAATAATGCCATCACTTCTGAAAATCATCTTTGGTTCAAGGAAAACAGGTGTTTTGATTCTGGTGAAAAAGTCTCTGAGATCATAGAAACATTTACAATATAAGGAAATTTAGTGTGGCAAAGTTTGCTGCATCTGAATCCAACATTATCATATTATGTTTTAATATAGGCTCTGTGAAGTGATCTAGCCCTTCTGGGACTTTTTTTTTTTTTAAAAAAAAAAACCACATTGGATTTTAAGCTGTAAAGATGTTACTGTTTTGTGGGAAGACACTACACCCCTTAACCAATATAACATATTATTCCTACTCTAATGCACTGCAGAAAAAAGAGCAGGTACTTCCAGACACTGTCTGTGTTCTGCCTTATACTCAACTGAAGGAGAAGCATGGTTGAATGATCACAAATACACTGCCACCTGTTTCTTATTTCTGGCATATTTATTTCTTCTATAGCATGGCTGTTGGGCTGGTAGCTTAATGAGAAAAGCATGTGGTTCTCAGCAATGTCTCTGGCAGCAATCCACTGCAAAGCTCAGAAGTCTATCTGATATACAGTCTCCCATAGAAGAGATGAAGGAAAAGAAAGAGAAGTAGTGCAGCCAACCATCAAGGTTACTTAGGGTCAGTGAGAGGGAGCTGTAAGGAGGAGCTTTCAGATTGTATTTCATCAGACAGGCAGAGATCAAAGGTGCCTTGTACTGCCATCTCCTTTCCTAACTCATCATTCCAAATTCAGCATGCATCTCCAAAGTGAAGCAATCACTGCTTTGAATCCTGTCCTCCTTCACCCAAAAACTGTGAGATGGCCTCTGTGTGGGATGTGCTAGTAGGTATGAGCACGTTGTACATAGATTCTTTGTTCAACATGAGCCAATACAGTTGGCACTTTCTTAGAACAGAGGCTGTGAATTAAACAGTTCACATGAACACATCCTCTGAGGTGTCAGGATTAAACAAGAAATGCAGTAGAAACAGTTTGCATGGTGACTTTGCTTATCTTACAGAAAGAAGACTTCAATTTGGAAGTGTCCCTTGGCATAAAAGCTACTGAAAAAAAGGGAGTATACAAAAAAAGTTCTGAACTGCCTTTTACACACTTTGGAATTCCTCTGGCTTCCCTGGGGTTGCAGAGAGAGCAGCGTTGGGTTTCCGCGGTTTAGTCGATATGCAAGTTGTTCCTTAAGGCTGCATTTTAGCATAGGTATTTCCCCAAGCAAACCTTTTACTCCGATCCTATTCCATCAAGTTGGAAAGAAAAATAGCTAAAAGTATCATTAATAATGGGCCTTTGATTTATTGCTTTCATAGCTTGAGGCTATTAACTGAAAATATGCACCTTATGGACATCTAACACTGCTTGGCTTTCCTGTAATATTGCACCAGTCACAAAACAGAGAAGATTTCTTTCCAGGCTATCTGCAGTACTGCAGTAGAAAGCAGACTCACCAGTATTGGCTTCATAGTCTCCAATAAATCTCTTTGTGAGAAAGCGTACAACCAGAGCTGTAAAACAATGAAAAAAATATGGGTCTTTAATGTGAACCAAAATCAATCTTTGCAGAACACATGGAATATCTTACTGGAAGAGTTAGTATATATGGAACCAAGTTAATCTTTGAACTGCTCACATATTATTCTGCAAATGCTTCTCTCAACACTCACAGAAAAAGATCTGGGGTCAGACTGTGATACCCATTGCAGAGTTTTTCTCAACTTGTACTGGAAATTGCCCCTTAAATTCAGTGTGGCTATTCAGTGTAGGACACGGAGGTTTGCTTGTTGTGATTGCAGGTATCTGACCTTTGGTTTGGAATAATTTAGAAAAAGAGTAGCAAGCCAATAAACTGAAACTAATCCCAGTCCCACATTTAAGACATCTGTGTCATATAAGAAGTGAGGCAGATGGATGTAATGGTTCTTCCCATCCTTAAAAATCCTCAGTCCTTCTCATGAAACCCATTAGTGATATCTAATCACACCCACCAAACAAACTGCATGTGCTCTGCACACATGGGTCATGCTGCAGCACCCCAAGCCTTCTTATCCACCTTAACCTGTGGTGCTTTCTTACACTGTTGGATTATAACATTTTCCTTTTTCTTGATGACTTTATAATACTTAAAATCCCATCATGGCAACAGTAACATATTCTTGTTGTGTTTTCATCTCATCAGATTCCTAATCATTTGCAAAGCCACTTAGTTAATAGTTAAATAAAAGGGTTTATTCTGCAAACAACTCTATCGCAGATTTCATTTAAAATAATATTTTTTTCACAGTGGATACTGGCTCACCTCTTTAGTACCCTTAAATGAAATTGATTGTGTAGCTGTTTTCAACAAACTACTTTTAAAAATAATATGAAAACGTAACTGTTTCAAATCCAAATCAATCAAACATTTTACTGAGTCCTGTGGAACTTCAGACGTAGTAAAACATCTGGCCTTAATAATTTCTGAAATCATAAACTCTATTTTCAAAAGCAATAATGCTTGCTTTACCCTCTTTTCTCTTTTGGAGAATAATACAGGAAGACACATCTTGTATGCTGTTATTTGTCTGCAGAGCATAAACCATTTACAGCAGGAGAATAAAAAACACTAGTCCCTGTTTTGGGGTGTGGAAATTTAGACGTGGTTAAATAATTTGCACAAGACCAGGTAGAATAATTTGTGAGTACAGAGGTACCAAGACAGTGCCCTCTACTCATAACTGCCGTCTCCCGTTGGCTGCTCACACAGAGCTACCGCAAATCTGTCTCACAAATTATTCAGTGCATTTTCAAAAAAAAAAAAACAAAAACAAAAACAAAAAACTAAACCCAACAAAACAAAAAAAAACCCCAAACCTTAAAATGTTCAAGCTGCAGCAGTTAAGGCTTTTAACAGCCTTGGGTCTATCTGAGCTGCAAATGAGCTCTTAAGTACAGCAGCAAGAAAAAGCATGGAACTACACCTGTGGACTTACCTGTCTTGCCAACGCTACTGCCACCCAGTACCACGAGCTTGATGATTTTGTTGGGCACGCAGTCTAACACAGGATACTCTGGTATGGGGAGCAAGAGAAAGTTAGTAGAATACTGTGACATAGTATCCTGAGAGATGAGACGCATGCCAGAAACGAGAGCTGTTCAACTCCGGTAGGAGTTGGGGGAGAAAAGAAGGAAAACAGCTTCTCGGCGTCTGTTCTTGGCTGTATATCCTTGGATAGAGAAGCCTTCTCATTTCATTTAAGTAGCTTTTCTGAGGAATATTAGAGCGACTGGCCTCCTCTTCCCGATGCCTCTGCTCAGACAGCAACTTTGGAAAGCAAAAGGGAACTTTTTGATCAGCCCCCGTGAAAACTGACTCCTCCATTCCCCAGCCAATCACAAGTGAAACCATGACATTCCTCCAGCCGGGCACCGAGCGTGTGCCTCCATCAACCACGCTCCCTCACTCGCTCCCTGCTTTATCTCTCCCCACTGCCTGTTTTATGCGCTGCCCCTTGGCTCTTTACTAAAATGAGATTCTTCTGTTTCACAGTCATCACGGTAGCATTTTCAGCAAGATACAGTCACCCTCGTGCTCTGCTCTAATTCCACTTTGAATAATCCCGTTCTGCCTGTCTAGTTTCTTTGCGTTTTCAATTGTCTCCAACTCCATGCTCTGTTGTTCTCCCTGTCCTATTGTGTCCTGCAGTTGGGCCCCTTCAGAGTGCCGAAGCTGATGGGACACTCCTCTTCAGGAAAACAAACACATTTTCCACCCACACCCCCCTAGTTTTTAGGCAGCTGTGGATTATTCCAAAATACTAGCTCAATATGTATCCTCCAGGATACATTTGATCTGCTGGTTTATACACATTGTTAGTCTTAATGGCCCACTGGAATGTGGGTTAGCATTGGGTTGGGACACTGCAGTTTCTCCAAACATGGAAAAGTGAATTTCGGGCTGGCGACAGTCTTGAGAAGGCTGACGAAGGACTCGGTATCCTTCAGTGGAGAGAGCCAGAGAGAAGGAATGAAGAAAGAATTACATCTATAGGAAAACTCAGCATAGTTTTAAGACAGCTGGCGGCTGCAAGGTCTGTTGGGATGACAGCATGTAACCGTACACTAGCTGCAATCAGCTCTCAGTTATCAAGGATAATGGGGAGGGAAGAAAAAGGGAAGAGCAGAAGGGAGGGAATGACCCAGATAAAGCAAAACTGCAAATAATATAAACCAGATATAAATTAAACTACAGAAAATATAGTTAGAGCATTCATCTTTGAAAAACTTCTCAAAAGAGGTCTGCAAGGGGCAGGAGCAGCTTTAGGCAGCAGTGGCAAGAGACAAGCCTGGTGCAGGCAGCATACTTCTGAGACGTGTACTTTGTCACGCTGTGTGGGAGACATGGATATTAACGGAAAGTGGCACCACAAGCTAATCCACCCACAGATCATGGAGACCCGAGGATGCAGATTTTTCCTGTCTTCTGTACGCTCCTAGCAGGCAGAAGGTAGGCATGGCTCATTATGTAGAGACTGCAGCCACCAAAAAGACATTTTCTGCCCAGCTGCTTTAACACCACTGCTTTCAACCACAGCATACACATAAGTTCTCCCCAGTAGGTTTTAGAGGCCAGGGGTACAGTTGCAAACTAGCACAAGAGAATGAGAAATCAGGTCAGGTCTCTAGATGCACTGGGGGCCAGGCTGTCAAATGATCCCAATTTCCATATTGGCATCACAGAGGACAGGCTAAGTGTGAACTGGCTTTAGAAAAATCTAGCTTTGGTGCACAGCAGTCCCATGAAATAAGCACAAGATTCAGAAGATTTATGGATATGTCACTTTTCTAAGGCTCTGTTTCCCCTCTAAAACTACTTCTGAAGCAGTATTTGTGCAGAGTTGTTGTGTAAGCCCCAAGTGTTATTACTTTGACCATCATCACAGTCAGCTGATGAAGAGGTGGAACAAAATGTCTGGAGGGCTACCCAGCTCATAGTACTGGGAGGGAGCCACCAGATCATGTGTCTTTTGGGACATGGCTCCTATGTGAATGGTTTTCATATCTTCCAGTGTAAATTTGTTTCCAGATTTTTGCAAACACCCAAACACTGAAAAATCTTTTCTAGGAAATTTCATTACCAGGGTGCTTTAATCTCACACAAGTTTTGTAAGAACAGGCAAAATGAAAGGAGGAATAGGAAAATGCTCAAAATCTTGTGGTTAATTAACAGGACACTTTGAAATCTATTGTTGAGCTAAACACATAATAAATTTTGGGATTAGCTAGCAGCAGTCTGTAACTGTCCACCCCTCTAAGTGTAGGATGTTGGAACCTTTGTTACCATTTGCTATTAAAAGCATATGTAGTGAGTAATATAAAACTGTTCATCACAATAGTCCTTCTATAAAAACAAATGGTAATATATCTGTCACCTTCTAGGTGGCCAGAAGAGCCAGGTAAGTTAAGCAAGATCCAGAGAATATACCATCTGAGCAAAGACATTCCTAGAAGAATACAGATTTGCTGGCTTGCTCCAAAAGAGAGGCAACACAATCCACAGAAACAAAAGTTAAAGTCCTTTTGAATAAATAAATGTTGTGCCAATGATGAGGAACTCCAGAAGGTTCTCACAAAAGTGAGTGAGTGCTCATAAAGTTGGCAGGTGAGCTTTAGTCCAGATAAATGTAAGGTAATCTAGAGAAAAAGAATATAAACTATGCTTAAACAATGCTGAACTTGGATGCGGCACTCATAAATTAGGAAAGAGACCTTAGAGTCATCACTGGCAATCCACACTTGTCAGCTCAGTGTGCAACAGCAGCAAAAGAAGCCAACAAAATGTTGAGTTTTCTTGGCAGGGGAATGGAGAAGGACACACTGGGTAGCATTTTGCTGCTTATGTACACACTCGGAGCATCCACAATGCCAGTGTGGCATGCAGTTCTCTGCATCTCAAAAACATAGTGGGGGCTGTGACGGCACAGAGCAGGGCACCAAAACTGATCATGGGCCTGGAGCAGCTGCTGTATCAGGAAAGACTGGAAAAGCTGTTTACTATGTGCCTGTATGGATGCTGGTGCTGACACGAGAGGAGATGTGTGGGGGAAAGGAGTGAAAGACCAGTGGTGGAGGAAATGTTGAACTGCTGCTTTTGGCAGCTGTGATGGCTTCTGGTTGCTTAAAACAAATGTGAAAGCAGTTTTAAAATGTATCTTGGAAGCAGACCAATCGATTTTTAGTTCCTTTGCTAATATGCTTCAATCTAAATTTCTTATGCACTAGCCCAGGCTTTGGGCACCTCGAACCAAAGCCTGTTTCCACTGTGTGCAGAAACCTCTGTCCAGAGAGAATAGTTTTCAGTCATAATAAAAAAAGCAGCATATTCTCCAAAAGTTTTAAATCTATTCTCAAGCTCATTTCCCCCCCACCCCAAAATTATAAATTTTAGGCTCTAATTCTGAAAGAATTCAAGTAAGATGTAGAATCAAAGCCACAGGTTTTCAAATCTGATACTTACCTGATTTTCTAGATTGTCAGAATAGCCTTTTCACTGAGTGAAACCATGCAGAAGGATGCACACTATTTGAGATTGTATAACCCTTAGCATGTAGAATAAGTATTGTTTTTAAAAGACATGTATAACCCTTAGCATGTAGAATAAGTATTGTTTTTAAAAGACATTTTCATTGTTTGTGCACAATGGACTTATATTTAGCTAAGAAAGCTGTTTTAAATTCAAATTCTCTTGGAAAAACAATAGTTTAAATTAAAGGGAGAATGTTTGCAAAACTCAGAGCAACTTTGAAAACATTTGTAAGATTCTGGAGATTTCACTAACCACTTCTTGAGTTGCTCCATGCAAAGATACGTGCCTTTGCATGTTGCACAGAGATTATGTTATTTCCACACCAAATTTTTTGCAGATTTATTTATTGGTCTGTGTTGCTTTTGGCTATAGTTTTTATAAGATTTTCTATTTTTATTGTTGTTGGCACTCCCACACATCTTAGGAGATGAAGCATTCTAAAAATAAAAATATTTGCCATTACCATAGTGCTTTTCATATGAGGATGTCAAATTGCTTTTAAAACTGGACACAATTATTCCTTATACATTTTACAAAAGGAGTAACAGACGAGCAGAGCCAGAGTGATCTTGCTAAGATCCCATCATGTTGGGGAAACAATGATTGTTGTCATTCTTTGCCCTTCTGCCTTGTACTAGCAAAAATGATCTTTCTTCTAAAAGTCTAGTTGTAATGGTTAGTTACATTTGCCTCCAGTATATATCAGGTGGTTTTGTACAGTATATTGATGTTATGGCGACATGGCTGGAGAAGTACAGCTCATTTCTGAGCAGAAGTGCTAAATGTGGTGCTGGGGAAACGCCGGTTGCTTTGGCAGATGTTGTGTAAAACTTGTAGCTGGAGGCTTGTGTACACATCCCCTGCTCCTGAATGTATTCCAAACAACAACAGATTGATCTTTGCAGCTTTGTCTGACTGTCTTTGTTCTCTGTTGCAAACTTGGGCCTCAAAGGCCAGTTCTCACGTCTCACTAAACAGAAGTAGTGTTTCAACCACCTTTTTGCTCCCAGTAACTAAATACTGTCATAGATAGGAAAGGCAAATAAAAAGCATCTTTGCAGGAGTTGAGAAAGGAACAGAACTTGAATGTGATTGGGCACAGGGAGCCAGCTATGCTTGGGATTTCACCTTGTGTGGAGCCTGATCATGGGTTAAATGTGATAAAATTTCGGCCGTCTGCTTCAGCATTAACCTCAGATGATGTTGTTTGGGGACAAGACTGCCATTTTAGTACCATAATTGTACCCAGCACAAAGTTCTTCGGATCCTGAGGCCAAAGTGAAAGGAAGTGTCCTCAGATGCTATTGCGACAGCTGTGATAAATCATATTTGATTCTATTTTGGGATGTAAGGGAGGCGATCATTTAAATATATAGTTCAATTTGGTTAAACATGGTACAAATTCCACTATTTTTGTATTTCCTGTCCCCAATTTTGTTGCATTGCTGTTCATGGAAACCCTGTAAGGAGCATGTGTCCTTTTTCACTTTTAGCATATTTTGTAAGGATTTTTTTTTTTTTTTAGGTTGCCAAATACTCTCCCTTGGGAGCCTGTAGTAGATGACATGAAAAGTACAATGTGCATAAGAGAACATCGCTGCAGGCGAGCTACTCAAATAGAACGGAAACATCTTGGCCTCATAAAAAAGTTTGTGCTTTGGTAACAGAACCATCCTCCATTCCCCACAGATATTCCCACAAGGTCAGGGCTGGAATCAGGGGTGGTGTGTGGAAACAGTCCTATCATGACTGACAGTGTACTTCATGCGCAGCATGAACAAAGGGCTTCCAGCCACCTCCATCAGCACTTTTCAACAGCACTCAGTTTATAGTTAATACAAAATAT